TTATGTTGACAGAACTCAGCGGTAGTGTAGACGCAGGTTTAGTTTTGTCATCAAAAGTCCACTTTTGTCGACAAAACCCTGTAGTCTAGACACACCCTTAGAGTTGGACTGCTGGGGATGAATGTACTTTTTGGACTGCATTGGAGGAGAGGGATTTTGGTTTATGATGATGAGACTTTGGACAATAAATTAATCCCCTCAAACAAGGCTATTTTTATACTCTAAAGGGAGTGTGTTACTTGAGGAATTGAGTAGGAAATTGAGACTGGGGCCACTTGCTGGAATGCCCTGAGGCAAGTTCTCAGTGACCATTTAATTTCTTGTCAACCACACAGAATCTGGTCCCCATTGTCCTTTTTCCCAACCAGAAACTATGGCTGATGCTTAAGGACTATCTGAAGGGTTAATTATCTCTTTCTGATGCATTTCATGATTAGTCTGTACTAGTCTTTTCTGGCAGAAGGTGAGAGCCAGTGAGGAACTCACTTGAAAAACATACTGCTCTTATTATCTGTCTTGTGCTTCTACCGATGCAGTGAAACTCTTTATCTCAGTTGGCTGCTGGAATACATTCAACCAGAAACACTATCAAACCTTTCTATCGCTGCTTGTGTTGCTGCTGTCCAGTATTGCACTAGATCAAATCTAGTTAGAACTTAACATCTCATGTTCCCATCTTCTTCCTAGTAGATGAACTGCCTCACATTTTCTCATTATTGTTTTCTTAATGAAAATATAAAAATATTTTTTTCAGACACACTTCACAAACTAAATATCCTATCTTGAAGATAATTGAGCCGAACCACCTTATAAAACAAATTATCTTCTCCTCTTGATGCATGTGAATGTAACTTATTGCTCAGTAAACAAAATGAGTTTCCCTCTGTGGCTGATCTGCAAAGGTATGGAGCTATTACAATTCTCAGCTTGAGAGGTTGGGTCTTTAACTCATTCTTTTCTCAGTAGAAACTTCTGGTTTAATCCTAAATGAGCCCTCACATCAGGGATGGAATTGAGAACAAAGTGGAGCTAACATGTTTGGCTCTCAAGGTGATAACTGTACTAGATCCCTCTATCTTTTGGCTCAGGTACAGAAGAGACTACACAATACATATTGATCAGCTGGGATCACAGACATTTGGCTAAACATAGGCATGTGTGAGGGGAGCCTTGTGTCAGTGAGCCTTGCTACATAGAATCATAGAACTGGAAGGGACCCTGAAAGGTCATTGAGTCCAGTCCCCTGACCTCGTGGAAGGACCATGCACCATCTAGACCATCCCTGATAGACATTTATCTAACCTACTCTTAAATATCTCCAGAGACAGAGATTCTACAACATCACTAGGCAATTTATTCCAGTTTGTAACCACCCTGACAGGAAGTTTTTCCTAATGTCCAACCTAAACCTCCCTTGCTGCAGTTTAAGCCCATTACTTCTTATCCTATCATCAGAGGTCAAAGAGAACAATTTTTCTCCCTCCTCTTTGTCAGACAGACCCTTTTAGATACTTGAAAATCACTATCATGTCTCTCTTCAGTCTTCTCCTTTCCAAACTAAACAAGCTGAATTCTTTCACTCTTCCCTCATAGCTCATGTTCTCTAGAGTAGATCTTTAAGCATTCTTGTTGCTCTTCTCTGGACTTTTTCCAATTTTTCCACATCTTTCTTGATCTGTTGTACCCAGAACTGGACACAGTGCTCCAATTGAAGTCTAATCAGTACAGTGTAGAGTAGAAAAATGACTTCTTATGTCTTGCTCACAACACTCATGTTAATGCATCCCAGAATCATGCTTGCTTTTTTTTTTCCAGCAGTGTCCTACTATTGACTCATATTTAGCTTATGGTCCACTAAGACCCCTAGTTCCCTTTCTGAATTTTTTTTTAAAAGAACAGACTCGTTCTTCCACCATTCCTGTAAATCTGGTTCTATGAGCCATAAGGGATCGCTTGAAAGAACACTTTTTTCCCGAAATTTGTCACCATGTTGATGCACCAAATTTTGAAAGAGCCTCTTTTGAAAGTAAATTTGTGGTACACAAATTGTGTATCTTTTCCATTTTAACATTTCAGTCTAGACGTAGCCTATGTGTGAAACTGATTATTCCTTCCTAAGTGGAGTACTTTGTATTTATCCTTGTTAAACTTTATCCTATTTACCTCAAACTATTTCTCCAGTTTGTTCAGATCATTTTGAATTATAACTGTAAGGGTTACATAACCCTATTTTCTAAAGCAGTTGGAACCCCTCTCCTCTTGATATCATCTGCAAACTTAATAAGCGTACTTTCTATGTCAATATTTAAATTGTTGATGAAGATATTGAATAGAATGGGTCCCTAAACAGGCTTCTGTGAAACTGCACTTGTTATGCTCTTCCAGAATGATTGTGAATCATTAATGACTACTTTCTGAGAACAGTTATCCAGCCAGTTATGCGCCCACCTTATAGTAGCCCCATCTAAGTTGTATTTGCCTAGTCTATTGATAAGAAGATCATGTGAGACCATATCAAATGCCTTACTAAAATCTAGGTATGCCACATCCACCACTTCTCCCTTATAGACAAGACTTGTTATCCTATCAAAGAAAGCTTTCAGATTGGTTTGACATGATTTGTTCTTTACAAATCCATACTAGCTATTACCTTATTTTCTTCCAGATGTTTACAGATGAATTCCTCAATTACTTATTCCATTATCTTTCCTGGCACAGAAGTTTAACAGAAGTTAAACTGATTGGTTTGTAGTTTCCTGGGTTGTTCTTATTTCCCTTTTTAAAGATGGGCACTATACTTGCCCTTTTCCAGTCTTCTAGAATCTCTCCTGTCTTCCATGATTTTTCAAAGATGATAGCAGATACCTCCTCTATCAGCTCCTTGAATATTCTAGGATACATTTAATCAGGCCTTGGTGACTTGCAGACATCTAACTTTTCTAAGTAATTTTTAACTTGTTCTTTTTTATTTTATCTTCTAAATCTACCCCATTTCCACCAGCATTCACTATGTTAGGCATTCCTTCATCAACAGACTTCTTGGTGAAGACTGAAACAAAGAAGTCATTAAGCACCTCTAGGACTACATAGTCTATAATGCAGCATGATAACATTAAATCAACACACATTAAAAGAGCCACCATATTCATTTGCTTTATTCATTCACAAAATTCTTTAAAGATACAGACATAAGAAGGTGAGATCTAAGATACATTAGATATGTATGTCTAGATAAGGACTTATCTTATCTATCTATCTATCTATCTATCTATCTATCTATCTATCTATCTATCTATCTATCTATCTATCTATCTATCTATCTATCTATCTATCTATCTATCTATCTATCTATCTATCTATCTATCTATCTATCTATCTATCTATCTATCTATCTATCTATCTATCTATCTATCTATCTATCTATCTATCTATCTATCTATTATAGTGCATCTGTCTGTGTATCTGTTAATCCATTTGTTTAAACCTCCTCCTAAACCACAAGAGCTCAGGTCACCAAATTCAGTATGTAGCTTCCTCTTACCCTAGGTCAGAGTTTGGTTGTGCCTGGAAAATGAGAAGTGCCGGGAATGGGACTATTTTCTCATAACATGGAATGGGAGGGGCACAGAGATGAGAGGGATGTGATACTGAGAGTGGCCACTAGAGGCAGCTGCAGCACCAAGAGAGTGGCCAGCAGGGCTGATGCTCTGCCATCTTGCCTGCCTGAAGATGAGTAAGGAGCCCTCCTGCACCAAACTTGAAGCCTACCACCCCTGGGGAGAGCTGCGGGCTGGGGCAGGGAGGGTGCTAAAGGCAGGCCAGCAGGAGACGGGGAAGCCCCCAGAGAGCCTGGAGGCTCTGGGCGGTGAGCTGCAGCAGGCCATGTAGGCTGGCCCCTCCCCAGACAGGTTGCAGTTGGGGAGAGGCTGCTGGAAGCCCCCGGAGCCTTGCCCCGCACAGACAGTTTGCAGGCTGCATGTGGGAGTGGGGGATTGGGAGAGCAACCCCCCCCCTCAGAGCCTCATTCCCTCCTCCCACAGACAGCCTGCAGGCTGGAGGGGCAGCTGAAGGGGGTGGTAGTATCTGGACCCTCCTCCGCCCAATAGCCTGCAGGAGAAAGGAGGTGTGCTTGTATTCTCTTTTGATACTGCAATTCTGCAGTGGTCCCATAAGTTTGGCCAGTTCCCAGGCCTACTCAGTAGTCTGCACTGGGAGACAACCTGGGTCCCATTTGTCCCTAGACAGAGAACAGGGATGAACTTGCTCCTACTAAAGCTCAAAGTTTTTGCCATATCTCATATTAAGAGACAGTGGTTGATGTTTTTCAATAAGTGATGCCACTAATATACTTAGTTTTACCATAATTTTCTTTCCTAATTAATAGAGAATTTTTCCTAGTTGTTGCTTTTTTTTATGGACAGAGAGGCAGCAGGTATACATGTCCTTGTCTAAAACATACAGTGACTGGCATCCTAGGCAGTAGTTACTTAGACAGGAGTTACAGAGAAAAACATATAAAAATTAGAGAATCCCAAATAATAAATTTAAACAGTAGGCTGATAATATCAATCCCTTGAAAAGAAATAGTTGTGAAGTCTCCAGGGCCGTGTCCAGACTCAGGGGTTTTTTCGGGAAAAGTAGCCTTTTCCTGAAAAAACTTCCCCTGCGTCCAGACTCAAGCCGCGTTCTTTCGAAATTATTTCGAAAGAACGCGGCTTTTCTTTCGATGGCGGGAAACCTCATTTCACGAGGAAGAACGCCTTCTTTCGAAAATTCCTCTTTCGAAAGAAGGCGTTCTTCAATGTAAAGAGGCCGTCTTCGAAAGAGAGCATCCAGACTCGCTGGGTGCTCTCTTTCGAAAAAGCGGATTTCTCTTTCGAAAGACCCGCCTGCAGTCTAGACTTTCGAAAGATGCTTTCGAAAGAGCCTCTTTCGAAAGAAGCCTGCAGTCTAGACATAGCCCAGCTGATCCCAGGCTCCTAATGCACTGTCCTTTTAAAGCAGCAAAACGGCACTTCAGAGGGGCAGTGCAAGGAAACCCAGCACTTCAAAGGGACTTTGCAACAGCGGACCTGGAGATCTGCTGGAGTCCCCAGCTGATCCTAGGTTTCTAATGAGCTGTCCCTTGGAAACGTCACCACAGTGCATCCAAGGGGCAACGTTGCATGAAGCCCGGGGTCCAGCTGGAGATTCCAGCTGATCCCAAGCTCCGTGCAGTGCTGCCCTGTTGAAATGCCACCACAGCGTTTCAAAGGGGAGGCGCACACGATTAATTGCGATTACATTTTTTAATTGTTTGACAGCCCTGATGTTTTTTTAAACAAGTTCATATTATTGCTTAGAATAGACCACCTGGAAAATTCACTGGGTAGGGAATCCCTGAGTGTTTTAAATATTCTTAAACAGATTGCTTTCTACATAAATAAGGAGTACATTTTTCAAAGCAGTAGTTGGGAGGTACAAACACAAACGCTTATTTATTTCATGAGCTACTTTACTCTTACATGTACTGTAGTCCTATTTATCTGAGTGGGTACTTAACTTTATTTGTGTATTTAAGTGCATATTGTAAAATTCAGAGACAGCATTTGTAAACACTCACAAATATTCATGTAAGAAATAGTAAGTGAATAAAAATAAGATAGGACATTTTTAAATATTTGCAGCTTTGAAGCAAACACAAATTAGTTAAACCATGCTTCTATCTCTCCCTTGTTTTGTTTTAGCCATGCTATATTGGTCTTCACTGTTTCGAGAGCTTGTTTCCTGGGTGCTTCTCCTGCTCCAGCAATAGGGTATTTCTCAAAGAAATTTTCCATCTTGAAAAGAGAAAACAAAATGAATTCTGTGCTAGGCATCTTAAAAATAAAAAGGCAAATTTCCTGCAGAGGAAGAGCTTATAATTTAGTGGTTTAAAATGATAATAGATATCATCTCCATACCTGCCAAAGCTGAAGGTCAGTGTTGAATGTTTGGGTTATGGATACCAGTCGACCAAGATATGCATTGTTGAGAGTGTATCTGGAAAAAAAAGCATTTGATATAAAATCAGATTGCTTTTTGAAGTGTTTTTTCCTTTACTGTTAATAAACTCTTTTTGTTCTTTATCCTTTAGCATCATGAAATAGATGTTGCCCCACATATCTAGATATTAGCAGAAATATTATGAAAATCATAATGTTACATTATTTGTGTACTATTCTGCAGGTTAATTACACCTGGCAAGATCTGTGATGTAAACATTCAAAGAACCATGTCTACTGCATAAAATCAAGTCAACCCTTGAGAGAAATTTCTATTACAACACTTTCATGTGTCTATCCCTTTGTAGCACTAAAATTGTGTACAATCAGAGGACCTCTGTAAATTGGCCAGCTTACTGTGGTTTGGTGCCCCCATGGAAGTTTGTTAGTTCCCCTTTCTAGTGCCTTACTCAGGTAGCTGAAGAGAAAAGATGCCCCAGGAACCAGTATGAATACACAAGAGCAAAGCTGGAAACTGATTTCATTGACATAATGGGTGTGTCTAGACTACATGGCTCCGTCGATGGAGCCATGTAGATGAGTTTACTTGGCAAAGGGAAATGAAACCCCTTCCTGCTTCTCCACGTGGGAACTAATGATACGGCCAAGAATGACCTTGAGCAGGTTACTGTGGATTATGTAGCACTGGGAAGAAGGATTCAAGAATTCGGAGCGCAAGTGGTGTTCTCGTCCATCCTCCCTGTTGGAGGGAAAGGACTGGGCAGGGATCGTCAAATTGAGGGCGTAAATGCGTGGTTGTGCAGGTTGTGTTGCAAAGAGGGCTTTGGTTTCTTCGACCATGGGACTCTGTTCTGGGCACAATGACCAGGGAGGAGTTTAAAGGTATAGCTCGAGAATGCCTGGGGGTTATCAGAAAGGCAAAAGCGCAAATGGAATTGTGACTGGCTAAGGATGTGAAGGATAACAAGAAAGGTTTCTACAGGCATATTAACAAGAAGAAGGTGATCAGAGAGGGTGTGCAGCCCCTACTGGATGAAGGAGGCAACCTAGTGACAGATGATGTGGGGAAAGCTGAATTACTCTATGCTTTCTTTGCCTCTGTATTCACAGTTAAGGTGAGCTCCCAGACAAATGTGCTAAGTGACGCAAGATGGGATGAAGATGGACAGCCCTTGGTGGGTAAAGACCACGTTAGGAACTATTTAGAAAAGCTAAACGTACACAAATCCATGGGTCTGGACTTAATGTATCCGAGGGTACTGAGGGAGTTGGCAAATGTCATTGAGGAGCCTTTGGCCATTATCTTTGAAAAGTCGTGGAGATCAGGAGAAATCCTGGATGATTGGAAAAAGGAAAATGTAGTGCCCATCTTCAAAAAAGGGAAGAAGGATGATCCAGGGAACTATAGGCCGGTCAGTCTTACCTCGGTTCCTGGAAAAATCATGGAAGGGATCCTTAAGGAATCCATATTGAGGCACTTGGATGAGAGGAAAGTGATTAGGAATAGTCAGCATGGATTCACAAAGGGCAAGTCGTGCCTGACCAATCTGATTAGCTTCTATGATGAGGTAACTGGCTCGGTGGACATGGGAAAGTCAGTGGATGTTATATACCTTGACTTTAGCAAGGCTTTTGATACGGTCTCCCACAATATTCTTGCCAGCAAGTTAAGGAAATGTGGATTGGATAAATAGACGGTAAGATGGATAGAAAGATGGCTAGAAGGCCGGGCCCAGCAGGTAGTGATCAATGGCTCGATGTCAGGATGGTGGTCGGTTTCTAGCGGAGTGCCCCAAGGTTCGGTTCTAGGACCGGTTTTGTTCAATATCTTTATTAATGATCTAGATGAGGGGATGGATTGCACCCTCAGCAAGTTTGCAGATGACACTAAGCT